TACATATATATATATATATATATGTAACTATGTGTGTGTGTACGTATGCACAAAATGGAAACAATTTGGAAGCTTTATGACTCTCGAGTCTCTCACATATATATATGTGTGTGTGTGTGTGTATATTGTCTTTATTACTGGCTCCCTTTGAAGAGTGAGTTTTATTAAGTAGTACAGATCAGAATACTGTGAATTGGGAAGAACACTGGTTACAGTTATTCTGCGCCATCATCATCAATAGCAGAAGATCAAACTGCGAGGTTGAAGACGAAGGGGGTGGCAATGGCGACAGAATATACAAGTCAAGATTCTACACATTAAGGAGGTGCAGTGTCATGTTAATGTGTTGGCAGAAGTACGGAAAGTATTATTTCAAAAATCTCCATTAATGTACTGCTACTCCCTGCATTAACTGCATCAAACTGTGGTACCTACTAATGATCTGTATATATAAATACATCCGTACACATGTATTTATGCATGTATATCTAGAATAACATCGAAATACAAAGGAAACCAATCAATGTTCTCAGGTAGTACTTCATTAATGTCTCCAAATACAAGATTGACTGGTTTGGTTACTCCTGATTGTCTTCTTAATTTTGGTTAAGTGTTTGTGTTTAGAAACTAATTGAAGATTAGGGTTAATTCGGTTAACGTTGAAAAGTTGAGGAGGGTAGAGGGAGTTTTGCAGGGTTTTCCACGTGAAAAACAGTGCTGTAAAGTTGTGGAGGGATGAGAGATGCACATGGGGAGAGGGACATGTCTTGGGAGACAGGGTAATTGATGCTCATCACACACACGTATAACATGTATATATATGTATGTGTTTATGCATGCATGTATGTTGATACAGGTTCTTTTGGTACGATTTTTGGGATCCTATATACATACATATCTATATATATATATATATATATATATACATATACGATACATGTTCCTTTCGATTGGACTTTTTGGGATCATACCATATGGTACTGTCTTCCTGTCTCGTACCTTTCCATCTAGCTTGGTAACTACTTGGAGTAAAACTTACCTTCGAGAGTAAATCATTAATGGCCGGATAACAATGTTTTACTCCTTCATTTTCTTTTACTTTTTTAAAAATGATATGTATTAGTGTATGTGCCATAAACACTATAAATATTAAAAGTTAAAAACACAAAATTAAAAAAAAATTCTTCGAACTTCTATAAACAGACACCGAGATAACCACCGCAACATCCTCGAGATAACCACTGAGAGACCACTTAAAAATTTGACTAATAAAAAAATAATTATGTATTTAACTAGTACAATATGGTAAATCTATTAATAGTATAAGTGACATTTAATAAAATGTAAACTAATATATATATTTTCTGAAAGTGAATGAATTAAATTAGCGAAAGATTAGAACATAAACGATTTCTAATATTTAAAAATAATAAAGGTTAGTATAGATCGATTCTTAAGTATCCTTTAATTTTTAGGAAGAATAATAATAATATTATTATTTTATTTTAAAATAAGAATAGATAAAATCAAGTCGCGTAAATTGATAGTTATGTCTTTTTTTTTTTAGTAAAAATATTAGGGTTTCGAGGTAATTACCACGCCATTTTTACTATATCAACAAAAAAAGAGGACACGTTATTTCAAAAACTTAAAAATTAAATTGGTTAGGTAAAGATTTAAATTGGTTAGGTGATTATATAATAAGACAACAATGACCAGAGACTTTTTTTAATTAGTCAATAAGATTAATTAAATATTTTAATGTATAGAAAAATAGAGGGTCTAATAAGAGAGAATCACTTATCTCGAGTAATTCTTTAAAATATCTCAATTTTTTATGAGATAATTATGTAATGATTGGTCATCAGAGTCCTGTTCAATGGAAGAATATGTTTGATTGTCTACGAAACTCGTGTTTTTTAGTAGTAATCTATCATAAAGCTTGATTTAGAGGATTGCATAAATTTATATCTTTATGATATAAAATAATCAAATAATTATAATGATTTGAATCATTCTACTGAAGTACAAGCTTTTGGGCATCCGAGGCCTTAAATATCTAAAGAATCTCATGTTTTTCAAGGCACCATCAAACATGTCTAAAGCTCTGAGTAGACTTGCCTTAAAAGATTGTTCAAACATCTTGAAACCTATAACATATATATAAATTGCTACAATACGTAATACTCCATTTACCTTGAAAGATTGTTTAAACATCTTGAAACCTATAATGCATGTATAGATTACTACAATACGTAATACTCCATTTCTTGTTAAAGCATTGAAGATGGCCTACAATGAAAAAAATAAGAAATTGTTCCTAAAATTGGATTTTATCTTTACTCCCGAACTTTTACAAGGTAAAAGAGCAATAAAATTCCTATTTCAACCAATATAACTTAAACCAGAGAGTTTTTTTAATTATGATTAACACGTTATTGTTATCTACATTTATATTAAAAATAACATATTAGTTAACTCATGACGCTCACGTAATCCCAGATAGATATATTAAATTGAGACAACTCCTTAAAGAGTTAATCCCTTATTTTTATCTAAACGATTATGATACTATCCGAGTTTAATTACCGGGTCTTTAATGGTTTCTTTGTGTTTTTTTTTTCTCTTCTTCGTAGAAAAAGAAAAAAAAAAGGGAGGGGCGGGGGTAGAATATGCTAATATATCCATAACATTGTAGCTATATAAGTTACCATGTATATTCCAAACATAAACATGAATTGGAATCAAATAATTAAAAAGGCAAAACACTTTTCTAATTAAAAAGAAAAGGAAAAAAAAAATTGAAATGATTTGAATACCCGCCAATCGCGAGTACAAATTATATAGAATTTTTGCAGGATTGAAATGGAAAGGCCAACAGAAAGCCAAATGGTTTTGTAATCAAAAAGTGTTGGTGGATGATTCTGGTTCATGCTTGTTTCTGTTTCTGCCGGCACTACTTTAATTACTACAACGTGGGTTCTTTCAGTCACCACCAATGGAAGCTACATGCAATTATATACACACACACACACACACACACATATATATATATGTATAGGAGACTGGGAGATCATGGTTGAATTGGGTCCTAAGAAAAAAAAAAAAAAAAGGTTTCTCCTTTTTGGTTTCTATTATACACGTTAGTTTCTTGTTTCCACGGCAAGCAACAAATTAAAATCTTTTTAGCTTCTTCTTTCGTGATCTACACCTTTTTTTTTTTGGTGTTCTTTTGATTTGCAGCATGTGTTATATGATTCAACTTTTAATATAATTATAATTTAATTAGATAATTGGTATATCTAATACGTAAAATTGCATTGTAATTAAATTTTACGTTGGACCCAATACATAAATTTTTACTAAAAGAATTAATGGAGTTCAATATGTAATTTTAAGAACCCTAATTCTCCACTCAAAGTGGGTGGGGGGGGGGGAGG